ACACCTCATGCACACTGGTTACAGCTCCGTTTGATTTTAGCAAAATTATCACAGGGTTTTTTGATTGTTAAAAAAAACAGGATTGTTTAAATTTGGAAAATGTTTCTAGGGTTTGGAAGAGGTAATCAAGAACCATCACAACTAACAGGAGTGCCCAATATTGATCATTGAACTATCTGCAATTTGACGTTTCACCATAGAACACATATAACATAACATCATGCATTGGCACATAATTAGAAAGATACAAACACAAACGGCAGTTTTAAAAGTTACATCCCAAATCAAACCAGAGTATGCAATGACTAAATCTCCATCATGCATTTGTTTAGTTAAAGCCTTATCCTTCTCATCAAGACCCTGTTGAGCTTTAACAATGTGGTTATCTTTCCTTTGCATTAATGACATCAGCATATCATCCAGTTTTGGTAACTCAAAATCAAATTCAGGAATTGCTTCCACAAAGCCCAATTGTTCATCTGATTTTACTGACATTGCCTGTTGGGTGGTGTTTACATATGGAAAATGATAATTTCCTATAGACCAGGTTGATTCAGGGGTCATACAAAATCATACAAAAAATCATACAAAAGCAATGGCTTCTCGCATGTGTGAACTACTCTGTGCAATTAATGCAGACTTAAACATGAGATTTTGTTTAGTTGCATTGGGCAAACCACTGTAATGGCTAAATATTTCCCACAACCTGGATGCAAATGCTAGAGGATGTTCTCCAATTTCCATTGTCACCTCAGTTATCTTTCTCAAGTTAACCAAATTAGTACCAGCAAGTCTAAGTACAGCTTCTCTCCTTGCAAATTTGTCTGCTCTTTTGTCACAAACTTCCTGTGAGAGAGCACTGGTTAATGAGTTTCATACAAACATCTAAATGTTTCCATCTCTGTTTCAGACTTTGACATTTCTTTTCTCAATTTCACTATCTGTTCCTTCAAAATCTCTTCAGCCTCGCAATTTCTCAATGACATGACATAGAATTTAGCTTGACAGTTTAGCAACTTGTTTTCAGTTTTAATTTCTTCTAATCTTTTCTTAGTTACCTTGTATGAGGCGAAAAGAGCTTGAAGTGCATTAGCAACTTTTCGCTCTTTGTTTTTAGGCATTTTGGGACAATTTTTGAATTGAGATATAGCGCACTCGTAGGGGTCATCTGCCTTCTCTATCCCATCAAACATTCCCACTGAGCCGTGCTTAGCGACATATTTAACTATCAACTCTGCCATTTTCACAATCTTATTGAATTGTGTTCAGCAATTCGATAGGCTTCTTTTCCTTCACTGACTGAACATTATCTAGTTACATTAAGATACCTGTTAGTCTAATTATTCACAGCTCCTGTGCTTTGGACTCAAATGAGTAAAGCAGCCACACTACGTCGGGCTTCTAAACCAAATTTTTCACTTCTCCGGACACGGCCACACTCTGTCGGGCCTTACACTTCACTACACTAAACCGGTAAAAATGTAACACTGTCACAATACGTCTGGACACAACCACACTACTTCTGGTTTTATGTTATATTTTTAAACCAGTTTACTTAGCCATAGTACGTTATGTGTTACACTTCAGGCAAAACAAGCACTTACAGCTTCAACTTCTGCAACTGTTTAAAAAAATATAACAATGTTTTTCACAGTACATCGGTCAAAACCACAGTATGTTGTTTTTTTTTTTCATATATTTTTTAATATTTTCTCAAACAGCCTTTTTCTAGCCACAGTTCCTCGGGCTCAAACTAATATTTATCAGATTAAAACAGTGCCACAGTACGTCGGGCAAAAACCACACTGCTTCGGGTTACTGCTTTAAACTTAAGAGTCGCAGTACGTCCGACTCACTATACTATAACACAACTATCATGAAATAATTCTGTGATCACACTACGTCGGATCAATTCAGTTACTTTAGAATTCAGTCAGAATTATAACATCTTCACAGTCGGTTTCAATTACATTAGAAACTTACAACTTCAGACACAATAGATTTTATACAACTCTGCCACCACACTGCGTCGGGTTGATTAAATTACTTTAGAATCTTAACAGAATTATAAGAGACCAACAACAAGTTTCAGTTACTTTAGAAACAACGATTCCAATACAGCTCTGCCACCACACTACGTCGGGTTAATTCAGTTCCGTTAGAATTTTAAACAGAATTGTACCGAATAGGCTTAAGAACTCCTCCTGCTAATACTGAATAGATTCTCTTCTATCCTTACAATTTCTTTTCTAGATTTTTTTAAACGAGGGGATTCCCTGACAGAACCAGCAAAAAGAAAGAAACCGCTTTTCTTAACTTTTTTCCTGCTTTTTGGAAATTCCTGCGCTGGGTTCCGTTCCCACATCTTTTGGTAGTCTTTCAGGTGGAAACAACCAAATGTTAAGGTGCAATTATAGTCAATTACCTTTTTGGTCAGCAGATGGTTCTTGATGGCCTACTGCCGCTCCCACGCTATAGGTGACGATTGACGAAGTAACGTTCAGGAGATACTATTTACATATTATTGAGATCGGAAAGAATTATCTCTATGATAATTAAGCTCTTTGTAGAGAAAGGAGAATAGTTTACTTGGAGTGGAAGTTTGGTCGAGGCAGACTATAATTTCTTACAGTAGCTATCAAAGATATTGAGCAGATAGTAAAGCTCACACAATCTTTGTCAAATATGGCTGTGAATTAGCAACCAAAACTACAGAGACTTGACAATCTCAAATGGTTGAATTACTGTCATTGTGATCAGCCCTTTAAACTTCCACAATGTAACCCATTTCATAAAGATGTAATGCAGTTTATCCATCTGGATTTGACTGGATGGTTTGAAGCTGAAACATGTTATCATTTAAAGGGATAGTTCACCCAAAAATGAAAATTCTGTCATTAATTACTCACCCTCATGTCGTTTCAAACCCGTAAGACCTTCGTTTCGAAAGGTATTCTTGTAGCTTCGGATAATTGCGGATGAACCCCTGATGTCACATGGATTATTTTACCGATCTCCTTGCTACATTTCTGGACTTGGGAACATTTCAGTTGCGTTGCTGTCTATGCAGGGTGAGACAGCTCTCAAATTCCATCAAAAATATCTAAATTTGTGTTCCGAAGATGAACGAATGTCTTACGGGTTTGAAACGACATGAGGGTGAGTAATTAATGACAGAATTTTCATTTTTGGGTGAACTAACCTTTTAAGTCTAGTGGTATTGGTCCTGCCTGCTTTGGTTAGCAGCAGAAAAGAAAAGTTTCAGAGGCAAGCAAGTTGTTATATTTTGCTGAAAGATTATTAAGTCAAATATTTATTTCGCATGCTCTGATGAATTGTGCATAATAACACACGGAAATTTAATTCTGTGGTCTATAATGAGTTTCCTTGTTTAAATCCCAGATGTTTAAGAGCACAGAGGACACAGAGGAGGGCAAAGAGTGAGACAGCTCTCAAATTCCATCAAAAATATCTAAATTTGTGTTCCGAAGATGAACGAATGTCTTACGGGTTTGAAACGACATGAGGGTGAGTAATTAATGACAGAATTTTCATTTTTGGGTGAACTAACCTTTTAAGTCTAGTGGTATTGGTCCTGCCTGCTTTGGTTAGCAGCAGAAAAGAAAAGTTTCAGAGGCAAGCAAGTTGTTATATTTTGCTGAAAGATTATTAAGTCAAATATTTATTTCGCATGCTCTGATGAATTGTGCATAATATCTGATGAAAATTTAATTCTGTGGTCTATAATGAGTTTCCTTGTTTAAATCCCAGATGTTTAAGAGCACAGAGGACACAGAGGAGGGCAAAGAGGAGATGACTATGGATGAAAAGAGTCCCTCAGTCAGCTCTCTGAATGATCGCACACTCTTCAGACAGAAATCAAGAAGTGGCTCAGAAAAAGATCAGCAGGATGAAGAGAAACAGACAGAGGAGGTAAGATTGTAGAAGGTATTTTGATTGAAATTATTTTACATATTTTACATATTTGTTCTCTCTTTTGTTTGTAGGAAAAAGCTCCAAACGTCTCCTTCCTGACAGTCCTGAAACTGAATAAACCGGAATGGCCATATATGGTGGTTGGAGTTTTATGTGCCACCATAAACGGAGGCATGCAGCCTGCATTTGCTGTCATTTTCTCTAAAATCATTGCTGTATGTTGCACGTGAAAATTAAATATTAATAATGATTACCATTATTGACAGTCAGCATTACTGAGACATTTTTCCTCATACATTTATTTTCCTGTCTCCTCCTCATTTCTTCTTCTTCTCTAGGTGTTTGCTGAGATAGATCAGGATCTTGTACGAAAGAGGACTGAGCTCTACTCTCTGCTGTTTGCTGGCATTGGGGTTGTGTCCTTTTTCACTTTGTTCTTTCAGGTTTGTTTTTTGTTACAGCATCAATGTTTAAACACAGAAAGTATAAACTGCCTTGAATGCTAAATAAAAATTGTAGAACTTGACTATGATAGTGATATCACTGATATGATAATAAACTACTTGGGTACCATCTTGATACACATTCAGTTCAAAAGTGTAGTCAGAGGTGAAGTATGGTTCCCATTCAGTCAGTCACGTTCAACGTTACGTCAGTGACTGACGAATTGGGATCTCGCCCGAGAGCCCAATCACCTTCGAGTGTTAACTAAACAAGCCAATGACAGTTGGCGTGCGTGCTTCGCCACGCGCACCCCGCCCCGCAGCGCGGGTATAAAAGGAGAGCGCGTGCAAACGCACATCAGCTTTTCGCTTCGGAGCCGAGCCTTCTACAGGACGAATCTCCGCGAGTGTTCGAGAAACAGCTGGCGTTGGTGTGACGGCGTATCAGCGGGGGTTGCCATCCAGGCTGCTGAAACCTCAGCGGGCTGCAGCTTTCATTCTGCGGTCTCGCTACGACCTCCCCTGGGCGCTTCAATCTCGGGCGAGATCCCAATTCGTCAGTCACTGACGTAACGTCTCCGTTCCCTCCTTCAGGGAACGAGGGTTACACAAGTAACCTAGACGTTTTATAGATTAAAGGTGTTCATGTGAGGTGTTTCAAAGGAAAGTTTTGTTCTGATAAGCATACTTGTGAGGTGCATCCTGTACATCGAGTGGTGATAAAAAGTTCATATGATCTTTCTTATCTGAAAGCTGATGACTTGAAATACCACTTTGTAAGCACCAATGAGTAGCAGACAGATCTGTCAATTATTTGCCTGGTCAAACTAAACCTGCTAAAATTCACAAATGCTAAAAGATTACATTTAACTCTTACAATAGAACTCAAATGAATAGAAAAAAGAAAATGTATTTAAATGTACTAAAAACAGGATAAAACAAATTCCAAAATGTATTATAAAATTACATGTACTTTGAAATAAATAGATTACAAAAGATTTATATTTCAATTTAAATGTTGTTCTTTCTTTTCTTTCTGTTCACCAAAGAATACGGGAAAAGTATCCGTTTCCACAAAAATACTAAACAGCTGTTTTCAACATTGATAATAAGCAATGCACCTTGAGTACCAAACCAGCTTTGCCACTACTAGAATAAAAAAAACATTTAAAAATATATTAAAATAGAAAAAAGTTATTGTAATAATATTTCACCATATTACTATTTTACTGTATTTTTGATCAAATAAATGCAGCCTTGGTGAGCAAGAGACTTTCAAAAACATTTAAAAAATGTTTACCAACCCCAAACTTTGATCCCCCCATCAGTTATTAAAGCCCTTTTATGGATTTTGTGGAGAGAAAAAAATTGTGCTTCAGCAAATAAAAATACTATTATAAATGTCAGAACATATTAAACACATTAGTCAAAACACATGACAATTTTTAAAGACCCTTTTAAGAAACAATGTTATGTCTTTGTCAAAAAAGCCTAATTTTTGGTGTATTTTTCACAGTTTTGAATTTCTTTTAGGGTTTCTGTTTTGGAAAAGCTGGTGAGATTCTGACAATGCGACTGAGGTTTAAAGCCTTTAATGCTATGATGAGACAGGTGAGACGATAACTGCCATAAACCAATCATCTCAAGATTTACCCCCAAAGAAGCTTTTTATGGATGTCTACTGATGGAGAGTAGTTTGACACCTGTCTGTGTGTATTTTAGGACCTGAGCTGGTATGATAACACTAAGAACAGTGTGGGTGCGCTGACCACCAGACTGGCTGCAGATACAGCTCAAGTGCAGGGTGTAAGTCTTTCTTTCCTATTCCACCACAGAGAGTAACACATAGTCCCACACGTTGTCCCAAGCTCCTAAATTGATACCCATGTACAGTAACAAAAGTAGCTCATCACTAATGGCACTATGACTCCCATTTTCGTATGTACTGTAGTTTTTAAGATCAATTTGATTTCAGCTTAGTCTGCTTTATTAACGTCAAAAACTATATATTTGTATTACAAATGTAGTACAGATTAAATACTGTTTAAATTTAAGAAATGAAGTTGTGTGTTGAAAATGGCATGTTTTGTTTACCATTTTAACACAGTAGCTCATCACAAATGGCACACTGACTTTATTTCCAACAGGCAACTGGTGTAAGATTGGCAACACTGGCACAGAATGTGGCCAACTTGGGCACCGCCATTATCATCTCATTTGTGTACGGCTGGCAGTTGACCCTCCTCATTCTCTCCATTGTGCCAGTCATGGCTGTGGCTGGAGCCATCCAGATGAAGTTACTGGCAGGACATGCTCTAAAAGACAAGAAAGAGCTTGAGCAAGCTGGGAAGGTGAACATTTATACTTATGCTTTAATGCAGCACAAATTAAATCACTTGTCTTAAATTACTACCTTGTCCACAATGTTTTTTTTTTCCCATTCAGATTGCAACTGAAGCCATTGAGAATATCCGTACTGTGGTTTCATTGACCAGGGAGAGCAAGTTTGAGACTCTGTATGAAGAAAACTTAGTTGTGCCCTACAAGTATGTTTAAATCGACTAATAATAATTCTATTATATATCTATTAGGATTCAAAATGAGCTTGATAATTGATGATACGATAATTGATGTTTGTCTGATTTCCTTAGAAACGCTAAGAAAAAAGCACATGTTTTCGGCCTGACTTTCTCCTTCTCTCAAGCGATGATCTATTTTGCCTATGCTGGCTGTTTCAAGTTCGGCTCTTGGCTCATTGAACAAAAGTTGATGACCTTCGAGGGTGTCTTTCTGTAAGTGACTCAATACATGTCTGTTATAAGACTCTCTCACAGCAGACAAAGGAATATGTGATAAAAAGCCTCCACAGTAGTATTGACATGATCCAGTGTCATCTACAATGTGTCACAGGTAGTTCAAATGTGTAAAAATGAAACGGTAGTGAGTGAGGTCAAGTAGTAGAGACACAAACAAAACTAAAACACACTACAGTGCAGGGGTTAAGTGGGAGTGGATTGGGAGGTACAAAGTCTGCTGGTTTCTACAGTATCAGTTAATAATTACAGAAGAAAAAGTGAGTCAGAATAAACTATCCAGATGAGCAGTGAATGCAGATATTCTCTTAGACGACACCGAAAAAAGGCTGGTGATTCATTACATTTACAGAGAGAAGATTCAAGAGGATACATGTTATCTAACAAGTGGGCTTTTTTAAACCGCGATAATTAAAACTCTGTTCTCTTAATAACTAATTAAATAGCAGTGTTTACCCATAGTCCCAGAGTCTAATAAAAATTATGAAGTGGGCTACACCATAGATATTGTGTATGCAATATAATCTGACTGATAATCACTGAATTAACGATTGGGAAAACATTAGTTTTGTCATTCAGTCAATACTATTATATATATATTATATATAATATAATTCTATCGTATTATAATATATATTCAATTTCAGTTTAGTAAGCTTTATTGCCATGAATAGAACTTTGCAGTTTCAGAGAAAAACAAGTAAAATAAAATAGCAATAGCAAAAATAATTCTAATCCTAATAACAACCAACACAAAACAGTGCCTTGTATAGTCAGTAGATTGATTAGATACAATAGTAGGGCCCTATGAAGTCTGTTTTATTTTTTTCCAAATTCCATTTTTGCTGTTTTTTCCCCATATTAATATTTCTAGACTCCATTTTAACTGTTAAATTTAATTTGAGTAATCAAAAAGCATGTTATTGACACAAAAAAGCATGAAATGAAATCATTAAACATATACAATTTAACAACAATTTATTAAACATTTAACAAAAATTAAAATTGTATGGCCCTATGATATGTTGTTTATTATGTATTATTATTATGTGTTATATACGTATTTTTTCTCAAATTCCATTCTGTTTTTACATTTTAATGGTTTAATTACATTTTAATACCCAATCAAAAAGCATGTCAATTAATTGAGTTCATAAAACAACTTAATTTATTATCATTATTACTATTATTATTATTTTTTATTTTATTTTTTTTACAGTAATAGGGCCCTATGATTTTTCTCCAGACATTCTGTGTTGTGTATTTACATTTCTCTGGTAATCTAATGAAGGCATAATAACATTAATTTAAATGATCTTTTAATCCAATTAAAATTAAACAAACCCTTCATTTTTGGTAAATAAAGCGCTGCACAACGGAGGTTTACTGGAAAGAAAACATGGAAGAAAAATTGTGTTAATAATAATAAAAAGTTTTAATAATAATTGTATTATTATTATTCATAGTAGTAGTAGTATTACATCAAGATGTATATTTTACTGTACAATAGGAATATATTTCTGTCACAATTTCTTCAAGTTAAACTGAACTTTTATTTTAATGTGTAGCTGTGAAGACCTTTAAGTTTCTGCGTGTATATTATTATGATGATAGTTCTTCTCAAATGAAATAGTAAAATGATTGAGATGATGTTCATGTTCTCATATAGTGAGTTGGCAGAGGCTGAAAACACCACAAGTGTCACGCACACTTCAGTATGTGTATAGTAAACATAACTGCGAGTCTGCGCCATTCATTCACACAGAGACACACAGAACATGCAAGTCTTTTTACAATTTAATATTCCCAGACACTAGTGCATATCGCCATTTGATTTGTGTACTGATCTACTTTGATTTTTTCAACCAAAATTTTACAAATTCTGTGACATTCCGCGTTATACAGTAAATTCTATTTTTATTACTGTTTTTTTAAAATGAATTTTTATTAATTTGTTTTAGTTTATGTATGTATGTATGTGTGTGTGTGTGTGTGTGTGTGTGTGTGTGTGTGTGTGTGTGTGTGTGTGTGTGTATGTATGTATGTATGTATGTGTATATATATATATATATATATATAAATAATTTTTCTTTTTTTTTCAGTTAATGTTCTTATGTGTCAAGTAACGACTGTTTTTTTATGGTTTTAGTTTTAGTTAATGTTAATAACTGGGTGATATATCTGTTTGTGTCTCTCAGTGTGATCTCAGCTGTGGTGTATGGAGCAATGGCTGTTGGAGAGGCAAACTCATTCACTCCAAACTACGCCAAGGCCAAGGTGGCTGCTTCTCATGTCCTGATGCTCATCGACAGAGTCCCAGCCATTGACAATGCCTCAGAGGATGGAGACAAGCCGGTATTCCTTTCACACATGCACTTGAACACCAGAATACACAGTATGCCCAATACGCGATAAAAAGCTTTCTAATTGTAGTGAGTCTTAATTCTAGGCAAGATCTCAGAGTTCTTAGAAGCATGTCATGAAATTAATCATTTACCACTTCTGCTGTTCTATCCTAATCTGATAAGACTCAGGCAGATCTGGACTCTGCCCACCATAAATATCCTGTGCCATTCAATGTGTTCATCAAGAGACAAATATATTGCCATGATGACACTAGTGTACCTAAATGTGCTCTGATGCGTCTGTTTCCTGTGATCTTTGTAGGATAAATTTGAAGGGAATGTGAGTTTTGAAGATGTGCGTTTTAACTACCCGTCCCGGCCGGATGTACCAGTGCTGCAGGGTCTCAGGCTCCGGGTGAAGAAGGGGCAAACTCTCGCTCTGGTGGGCAGCAGTGGCTGTGGCAAGAGCACCACCATCCAATTACTGGAGAGATTTTATGACCCTCAGCAGGGCAAAGTGGTAGGAGAACACGCATACAGACAAGTGACTCAGAGACCACGGGCCCTATCATACACACGGCGCAAGGCGCGGCACAAGTGTTTTTGATAGTTTCAGCCCAACGCAGTTCTCATTTTCCCGTCCTGCGCCACGTTGTTTAAATAGCAAATGCATTTGCACCCATGGGTATGCTGGTCTAAAAAAAGAGGTGTATTCAGGCGCATTGTTGGCGCGTTGTTATTTTGAGGAACTGAAAATAGACTGCGCCATAGACCAACTCAAACCTGGTCTAAAGTCTGGCGCAATATTTTTTCTTTGTTATTTAAAGAATTACATTCCGCCATGTAAATAGCGAACCCGCCATAGCGTGAGCGCAACTGGCTTTTAAAGGGGATGGGAAATGAGACTCTGATTGGGTTATTGCACGTTACTCCCAAAAACACACCCATTACTCATTAAGAGAATAGGGACAACCCGTTTATACCATGCGCCCGGGCGCGCAGACCGTTTTCCCGTCGTTAAACTAGCAAAAGTGGATTCGGACACGCCCTGAGTGCACCTGCGCCATGCGCTTTAGACCATGCGCTTAGATTGTTAAAATAGGGCCCACATCTTTTAGCTTTTTTAGCATATATTATATAATAACTTTTATTGACATGTTAATGTTTTTCCCACGGGTATCTAATTGACTAAATAGTCTCAGTCGCTAATCACTCGTCCAACTCAGCAAGATGTCATTCACGCACATACTTACACTGTCGTTCAGTACACAACAGCCATGGAAGTCACAATCTTATTACCTTTCTCAAAGGTCAATAATAAGGTATCTTAAGGCAGGCCAAAAAACAAGGAAATCCGGATATGCACATCAAAGGATGCTTCTCTTTCACCTGCATACTTCAGGTCCTTAACCTTTATGACTCAGACCATAACACAAACCTGTTCACACGCTATTAACCTCCGTTTCATGTGATCTGATCGCATGTGGACAGTGCTAAACAATCTAACAGTCTAAACAAGATTTTTTTTTCTAATTGATCAAACCACATTCACAGTTAGTCACAGGTAGCTTTTTTTTAATATATATAAAAACTTTTTAAAAAAAACGACTACAAAAAAACTTTATTATAGCAAAATAATATTTAGCCATTAGGTCCAAAAGCAAGATACTGTACCTGTTACAGAAATATGCATTGTATAATAAAGAAGCATTGAGATGCATTATACCAGTAATAAAACATAGTTTTGGTAAAAGTTACCCTTTATTAACAGATGCTGGATGACAATGACGCAATGCAACTGAACATCCACTGGCTGCGCTTGCAAATTGGCATCGTTTCCCAGGAGCCTGTGCTGTTTGACTGCAGCCTGGCAGAGAACATCGCATACGGAGACAACAGCAGAAAAGTCAGCCAGCAGGAGATCGAAGAGGCTGCTAAGGCTGCTAACATACATTCCTTTATAGAGGGGCTGCCACAGGTACAGTGCAACCATCGTCCTCATGTACACCCCATTCAAAAGTCAGGGGTCAAAACTAAGAATCTTTTTCAATACTTTTCTAAGATACCCTTTTTAAAAAAAAAAAAAACATTTATTCAGCAAGGACACACTAAATTTGATCATAAGTGACAGTAAAGATATTTTTATGTAACAAAACATTTCTATTTCAAATACAGTAAATGTTCTTTTGAACGTTTTATTAATCAAAGAATCCTGGAAAAATACAATAAGCAACACAACTGTTTTCAACAACAACAAAAAAAATGTTCTTGAACAGGAAAACAACATATTGGTTTCTGAAGGATCATGTGACACTAAAGACTGGAGAAATGACTGCTGAAAATTCATATATTAAAATATATGCAATATTTTAAAATATGAAATTGTTATTGTAAATTCTAATAACATTTCAAATTATTAAAGTTTTTACCTTTTTTATCAAATAAATGCAACCTTGGTGACCACAAGAGACTTATATTTAAAACCTAAAAATAGTACCAACCCAAAACAGTAGTGTACATTAGAAACAAAAAGCAATAAATGTTCTAATCTTGTAACAAAAAAACAAACAAAAAAATAATATATATATATATTGATTGACTGTCTACAATTTTACTAAATAATATTGTGGTGTGGTTGCAGCAATACCAGACACAAGCAGGTGATAAAGGTACACAGCTGTCAGGAGGGCAGAAGCAGCGTATTGCTATAGCGAGGGCCATCCTCCGCAACCCCAAACTCTTGCTGCTAGATGAAGCCACATCTGCTCTGGACACTGAGAGTGAGAAGGTAAGATCACAGTTCACACACAGCAGAATACACTTGTCATACACAGCTCAGTTATATATTATCGCCAAACTCATATCATTATCTATCACAATGGTTTCAACCAGAAATCAAAGCTATGAGTTTGCGAAAAAGAATTGACTTTGGTTACCTGTTCATACAGATAGTATTCAAGCTGCTTCTGGATTTACAAGACAATTGAGAGTAGCGCCTGCTAGAAAATAGTGAAGATACTGTATTTCTTTTACTCAACTTCCCTCGTCTCTCTTCTCTCTGTCCTGTGAGTAGATAGTGCAGGATGCTCTGGATAAGGCACGCGAAGGCCGCACTTGTATCATCATAGCCCACCGGCTGTCCACCATCCAGAATGCAGACCGTATAGCTGTGGTCCAAAACGGGGTGGTGATAGAGCAGGGCACACATCAGCAGCTCCTCAGCAAGCAGGGGGCGTACTACACCCTCGTCACCTCTCAGATGAGTCACTGATGGTCAAGAGCAGCAGCTGCACATGCAGATTCTAGAAAACATTACATAGAAATGCACTCCTGTGCTTGCGAGCCTGTATTTCATTTTAGGTGCCATTACAACAGGAAGCCGGGAAAATAATAAGGATGTGGACATTTGTGTCCAAGCGTAATGTTAGCGGAGCAGAGGTCTGACTAAGCATTGTGTAACTGTCAGTGCCTTTAAAGTTTTAAGATGTAACATTAATCCAAATCAGCGCTTTCTTGTTGCTGATTTAATTGTATTAAACAACAAAAAAAAGGTATTTCTGTTAACCCTTCTACCAAGCACTACCATATTCTGATTTCCTGGTCACACTTGTACATGCAGAGGGCAGAACATTTCAAATGTGATTGTCTTAATAATGTACAGTAATTTATATATACATAAATAATTTGTCCATCTGTGCCTAATAGCAAACATGTTGCCTTGCTTTCTCGTTAGTGAAGACAGTTATTATTCTTCAGGTGACAAGAAGACCAAAGAGTTTGTATTATGATGAGTGTTCTGTGTGTGGTGCCTTGATATTTATCAGACTAACATAAGGCTGGTTTATTTTGTCTTGTGGCATTGTTTTCTTATCACATACTGTAAAAAAAAAAGTTTAGAATAAAGATTTCATTTTTCATTAGCCTCATTTTTTAAATTCATATTCTACAGTACACTGCAGTCATAAAAGTAGACAGTAGACTTTAAAATTCAAAACGTGTAATTATTTTTTGCACTTACATTACATTTTAAAGATGCAATGAAATGCATGGTGCATTTCCTCTGAAATGTAGGACCGGCACTATTCTATTCATCAGTAGTTGATTGGAAGCAGATCTGAATGTGAGCTTGCAGTTGATTGCAAGAAAGCGTGGACAAACCGAACAAAAGTCCAGCATAAATCATGAGAGAGGTCTGCCATTTCACCCTTAGATCTGGAAAATAATTTTCAAAGAAAAAAACATTGATTCATTCATTCACAATAAGATCAACAACATGCATTTAGAAAAAGAACTTGGCTGAGTTTTCCTTTCATGCCGATTAAATTAAAAAATGTAGTCATGTTTACAAACCTAAATCACATTCACAGCTGGTTGACTGCCACAGTGAAAGGATGCCATATGCCAAGCTCGATACTGATAAAGATTTTAATAATTAACTCGCCTTCCCATAAAATGAAAATATTTCACTAAGACATTGGTTTAAAGATTTGCTGCATTTACACAAATGTAAAACAAAGTTCACAGCTGTGGTTTGACACTGAGACACTTATGAAATGAAGTCTAAATTACTGATTATTTCCACAAAAGGAACTGTATGCATTAAACAAGCATTTAGATTTGAGAGCTGTAATCACTTTAATATATATATACAATCAATGCACATTTCAGAGACCGCAACAATCGAAAACAATCAGGCATGTTTGAGGCCATAAATGATAAAGCAAGTGGACAAATCAAATTCTTACACAAATACATGGTTTATTCACAACATATGAATACTCTGTAGCAATGTTTACTATTTCTTTTACAGGTAATGGCGACAAGCAAACTTGTGTTCTTGGTCAATTTGTGGGCAATTCACATTCAAATCTACATGCATGCATGACCAAATTTGCCATTCAAAATAACAGCTGGAAAAGATTTAAGGTCCTATGATGAAGGAAGCAGCATGTAATTTCAGGAACATTTATTCAGTGTTTCCCAATATCTAGGAAAGCAGTGCAAATTAAACCTACATTTGTTAACAAACAGTAAAATGTTTTTACATAAGCATGTACATCTACAATATAAAAACATTCATTTATACCCTATTGGTTCAAAACGATTCTAGAGCAATAAGCCTTAAAGTTGGAAAAAGCCACATGATAGTAGAACATTTTCAAATTAAGAAAATAAAAGAGGAATTATCTTTCTGCATTATACTTGCACTGTTGCATTGATTTGTGCATTAACAGTATATCTATTGTGTATGTGTGCAAGAAGTGAACAGGTCAAGATGAACTTCCACACTTGAAGAAGTTCATCTAAAATCACATTGTTTAATGTCTCTCTCTAGTGGACTTATGATGCATGAGCATCCTGTGACATTATACAGTTTCACAAGTCTACAGGTAACAGGAAGCAATACTGCTAATGTAGCAAAAACTGTAGGTTAAAAATCATGCAGCCCCTCAGAGGAGGATTTCCTGATTGAAGTGATTCAGAGATGACTAACTGAAGGCACGTGAGAGTTTAAAGCACCTGCTGTACTAAATCCAGATTCTTTCTGAAAATGTCTGGTCATTTCTCAAACAAATGTCACATTTCTTCACAATTCGACTCTTATCTAATGTATATATTCTGGATATGACCGAACAAGAGAGCATATGAACCGTTGTAAATTCACAGCATGGTAGATCTGTCTAAAGGCAAGGTCATGTCTGAGACAGCAGCCCTTTTGCTCCTGTCCTATGACATAACTAAAGCAGTGAGGTTACTTCCCAGAATGCTCTGCTTCACAGCTGGGACTGGGTAGTGACGTGCATGATGTCATGTAAAGAGGCGCAGAGGTTCTGAAACAGGGTTTCAGCATCTGTCTCTGGGTTGGACTTCCAAGCGGTACAGGACGCAACAATTCTGAGAATAAAGAATAAATTAAATATAGAATTGAATTAAATTAGACCAATATAACAATAAATTATAATTAACATGCCAGAAGAAATTGTAATACACCACTGGTCAAACGTTTAGAATAATTACGATTTTTAAAAGTCTTTTATGCTCACCAAGGCTAAATTAATTTGATAAAAAATACAGTAATATTGTGAAATATTATTAACATTTAAAATAACTGTTTTCAAATTAAACTGATTTAAAATGTAATTTATTGCTGTAATAGCAAAATTTGGTGCTCAAATATTAATAATGGTTCTTATCATCAATGGTGAAAACTGTTTTGCCGTTTAATATTTTTGTGGAAACCATGATACATGATTTTTTTGATAGAAAGTTCAAAAGAGCAGCATTTATTTGAAATGGAAATGTTTTGTAACATTATAGATGTATTTACTCAAACTGTTAACAGTTTTTGTTATTAATTGAATGCATCCGTACTGAATAAAAGTATTAATTGTTTTTAATATTACCCCAAACTTTTGAATAGAATTCTAAAATATATTGTAATACAGCATATAAAATGCATATATAAAACGTGATAACGTGAAATAATATTTCAAATATATAAAAAATACAAATATTTGTATCCTTTTTTTTTTAATGGCATAAACTGATATGAACCAACCTGTCATCACGAATGCGGTAGAAAAACCCATATCCGTGTGGCACCATGGGTGCAACTGCTCCCAGTACAGTGGTGTAGCCCACCAGACTAGTGGAAAGCACAAAACTCCCCCCTCCTCCACTGCAAATACAGAGCGACACTAGAGGGGCTGCAGTGAACTGCCTTTACAGCAATACACACAAATCAATACACTGGCAATGAACCATGGGAATTAAAGTGTTGGGCCAGACCTCTTAGTATAGAGCGGATCCATGTAGAGTTCAGGCACAGGAAGACCCTCCTCCTTGGCAATCAGGTATAAGCCCAGGAGGTGTCTGTCAAAGCCTGTGCAAAGATCATTCAAATATTTGTCCCTGCCATATTATCCATTACACAATGTAAATATTACTACATTGACAAACACAAACCTCTTCCATCCTGTGCCTCTGCCATCAGTTTGTTATGCTTGCTGAAGGCTGCATTTAAAGCTTGTCTTTTCTCTTCAGTCTGTGTAAAAAAGACAAAGAAGCCATCAAAGCAAACCAAATGTCAAGAACAGTGGTTCTCAACCAGGGGCCTCAGCAAACTTCCAATGACTTAAAGCTATTTAAAATAAGAGAAAATAATTAAAGGTGCACTAAATCAATTAAAATTTAAGATATTTCTAATTTTATTCATCTGCTCAATTGTTTTTTTTCTTTTCTTTGAAGAACCAGTGTTCCCATGCTCTCTGAAAACCTGGATATATGAGGTATCCTAATTTTAAGTTCTGAAATATTTATTCGGGTGGAAATTTTTTGTATCTTTTTAGTTTCAATTCAGCTCTTGAAACTTAGCCCTAACCTAACCCCAACCCTAGAATTCTGAAACTTTTTATTTAACTATAACTAGCAAATGTTCCAGAGTAAACCAATATATACAGTTCATCCCCAAAATAACATTTCTACCTTGTCCTCCCAAAACCATATGATTTTTCCTCTATGAAAAGGAAAAATTTAGCACAATGTCCAAGCTGCTCTTTTCCAATTAAAGAAAGTGGGGGAAAAAACAATAAAAATGGTCAGCTATATTCCAAAGATACCATACGACCATATGACAGCTTTGTATGAGCACCAGACCGAACTTTAAATCGTTATTTGCTAAAAATCTTTGCCACAACGCTGCAGACACCTTCACGCCACTGTAATATAGAGCACAATCCATAACTTTATGATACTCTTATTTACTTATTTAAATTGACTTTGACCGTAAGGTAAAGGATGGGTCATACAGGTTTGGAGGATGAGTAAATGATGACAGCGTTTGAATTTTCGGCCGAACTTAACCTTTATTTATTACACATAAGGCACTCACAGTGGCTGTAGGGTTCAACATGGTTCTGCACCAGTCCTGGGCCTCCACAGTGCAGGGCCTCATGGTCTCTGTGCGGCCATGAAAGAAGCGCCGCGTGGTGGCGGTCTCATAACAACTACCAGACCTGAGAACAACAGAGAGAAGGATGCCAGACTTAGCAAGGGCTGAAGTGTTTTGATTTTTCAGGAAGCTATCTGACACACGTACTTTCCGTGTAGCCTGTAGTACGCTAACTGCAGGGCCAGCTGTACAAAAGTGTCAGGGTGAAGCGTTCTCTTCTTAATGGCTGCTTTTCCAAATGAGCTGAAGGCATAGCTGACAATCTGCAGGTCCTGAGACTGTACATACAGATGCTTTGAGATTAAAACTAAAAACCACATCTGTTTGTATTAAAGCATTACGGGATTGTATAACAAAGACTCAGTAATGATATAGCCGTGTGTGTGTGTGTGTGTTACTTACACTTTTGGTGTATTGTTCTTTAGCCAGGGCTATGTCTCTCCTCACCCGCTCATCCACAGTGAATATCAGCTCCTCCGGGACAGGCATCTCACACACAACCTCTGAACCCTGGGACTCACATCATAATTTCAACATGCACATTCACGTATATAAAATGACATACACAAATATACATAAATGCAGTCTTACCTTCCACACTCCACCACAGGCCCTCAATTTTTGATCTACGTAATATCCATTAGATACCAAAACCATGGCATCATATGGCGCATGCTTTAAAACAAACAAAGACATATACAATAATGACATTAAAATGTGATTATTATTCAATTAGGTATTTATATCATGACTGACATAGACATGGACTGCAATAACTACTGGTAAAATTCTGACTAGAAAATTGTATTCATCAACATAATGTCATATTTGGAATAAATGCACTCAGTGCAACATAATTACACCTTATTTCACTTAACACTGTGTGATATAATTATTATTCAAAGATAAGATATTTCAA